TTATTTAGTGGGCTTGGCCCTTTCTCTTTAGGGTTTTGCTTTGTTATTTAAACCTAGTTGCCATGTAATTGAGATTGTTGATGAATGAACAAAATTATTGGTGGCTTGTGGCGAAAGTTCTCTCTCTTCTTCCATTATTCTTCTCCTTCTTTTACTATTTCTCCCTTTTGCCATCCCTTCCCCTAATTTCTTCTTCCTGACGTTTGGTTTTCTTATTCTCCATTGGGTATTTTTATTGATCCTACATCAAATTTCATATCAAAGCCGAAATTGAGTAATTTCTCATCTACAATTCAAAACTTGCTTCCTATCCTCTTCCCAAAAACTTGTAGAACAATACTAACAAACAAACAAACAAAAATTCATTGTGAGGCGACAGTTTTCTTCTTCAATTTTCTTTCTTAGTTGGAAAAATCCAAAAAAAAAAAAAAAAAAAAGGTTACTATTTACGCCCAAAAAAAGAAGAAGCAATTTTCGTATTTTTGTCAATTTGTGAAAAAAAAAGGAAAAAAGAGAGACGTTCACAGTGTGCTGCTGCTATTCCTTGCTACTGTTCAACGTTTGCCAAATTCTTTACGAATTTGCAAACCTAAAGCCCATTATTATTCAAGCATCCCAAAAATCTATATTCGCCCCAAAGCCATTTTCCACGTAGACAGCCCACTTTCCATCTTCTACTCACATATAGCCAAGTCCAGCAGCCCACACATCCCACCCATTTCACATATAACACAATCCCAACTACAACTCGACCCAAAATCCAACCCCATCCCAATCCAGACCTAATTCACTCAACCCCAACCCATTATATACAACACTTAAATTGGCCCAATACCATCCAAGTGCATTACCCTTTCTTATACTCAGCCTACTTCCTTGAACTCCAATCAACCCGTCTCTATCCTCGTCAATAACCCACAAAATCATCGCCGCTAGCACCAACGACACTCACCCACCCAGCCTGCCTCTACTCCCGTTGACGCTACCCATGCCAATGGCACCTCCACTAAACCGGCAAACCACAGTTGGAATGTCGCTGATTTTACCATATAACACACCACTCGCCACCAGCGCCGCCACCTTAATCTAGAGATAGACCCAATCCCTTAAACATTGCACTACCTTACCTTCACATACACACAAATACCACCACTGCCACTGAAGACACAAGAGGACCAATTTTAAATTACCAAACAAAAGGAGGACTAGTTTTAAATTACCCAGGCATCATCTTCAAAAGTGCCCAACCACCATCAGATTCGAGAGCAGCTAGAGTTGACGTCCGGATTGATCTTGTCATCTCACTCAATTGCTCATGACTCGAGAGTATAATTGGGTACAGTCTGATTCTTTAGGTCTCGGAGTACATCACAGGCGACTTCGAGTTTCGTGAACACCACCTTTACAACTCGACTATAGGGAGTCACTGTTCCTATCTATCTTTGGTTTACACTACTGTTTCATTTTAAAATTGTATCGATTAAATTTTTGTACTGTCATTATTCTAATAATATACCTAAAGTCACGTGACTGAATACCTTGATTTCGTCAAAACCCCATTTACCCGACTTATTCTACGTGATTAGGTTTTGACTAGTATTTAATTCATGCTTTGTTATTTTACATAGATCAGCAGTATTAATTTGCCATATTCGAATTTACTTAATCCCGAAATTTGTAAAAAAAATGCTCAAGTTGTTATTTCCCATTGCATGCACTTATTGTTCATTGATCTCACCATTGCATGTCATTTAGCTGGTATTATATTGCACGCAGTTGCGTAGTGGTCGTTTTGTTGCCTCTATTTCTAGTACATTGATGATGGACCCATCCCAATTTGATGCATTCACTAAACAATTAGCTCAACTTGTCACTAGCCAGCAACATTTACAAACTTAATTAGCAGCTGTCCAAATCGAGATGGCAGCTACTCGTGAAAAGAGTAGAGATCTAGCCACTAGTCTGAACAATTTTAAGCAAATCCCTCATTCGACTGATATTAATAATTCTGAAGTGTCCCACAATAGATAATATCGTCATCGACAAGGTGATCAAAAATATTTCAACACGATCGTAGGGATAGGGATCATGTTCGTAAGCGAGAAAGAGGCCACAATCGTCATGTACTCATTCTTTTCCTCGTCATAAGGAGAGTTTCTTTAGAGGCTTTAAATTAGATACTCCTACTTTTGATAGTCGCTTATATTTTAAAGTTTTTACTTAAGGGACCGTCCTTAAACAAGGGAATCAATTAGTGACCGAATATATTGCTCAATTTGAGGAATTTCGAATGAAATGTCATGTCGTTAAGGATGAGGCCCTGACTTTGAGCAGGTCTAAGAGATGAACTTATGCGTGAGCTTTTACTTCGAGGTGTCACTACTTTTGATCACCTTTACTCTTTAGCTCGGGACTATGAGTTACTTATTAGTGCTTCATATGAAAAGCGTAGTCACCATCGTTCACCCATCTCATCAGCGCCACCTCGTCATAAGTCTATTGTAGAGCCTTCCCGTCTGATGTTCCTCCCATATCAATGCCACGTCCTCCTGTTATGTCTATTCTAAGACCTCTCTCATCTAATGCTACTCCTTTGTTGGAAAATAGAGGTCAAGATTTTGAAATTCCAATAACTCCTCACTTGCAGTGCTACAACTGTAAGGACTTTAGTCACAATTCTCCCGAATGTTCTAGTCGAACGTTAGTCATTGAAGAACGAAAGAATATAACAGATGAGCGATTAGAAGATAAAATCTATGAACCTAAACTTGAAGAATTTGAAGATTTAGATGATAGTGAGAATACCTCCTCAGATAGTATTCAGACTTTTCCTATGAATCTAGGTATCATAACCCTTGTTCCCGATACCTCTCAGTCAAATGTTGTGTGTCATACTCTTATCAAACCTAAAGGTACTGATGATTTGTGTAATCATGCCATTTTCACGGAAAATCTTGGGAATTGAAATTTGATCCTCCTAACAATGCAAATTACATGTAACAATTTTGTAAATCGGTTTATTCATGGTTATGAATCTAGGACAATTTTAAACCTTATTCCTATGTGCCCACATGCCAATATATCTATGTCAGTTGAGGAAGTTGTATCACATCTTCATAGCTTGCATATTCAGATCAATAAACAACTTGAAGCAAGTAATGCATTATATCAACTTCAAGCTGATTCGCATAAGCGAAATTTTAAATTTAATATTGGGGATTATGTTATATTGCAAGCTTATAGTGCTGATCCTTATGAAATTTTAAAACGTGTTGGTTCAAATACATGTGTCATTGATCTTTTGCCACATTTTGGGCACCACTCTATTTTAACTGTTGAGGACTTAGTTACTTACAAATGTCATTTTAATTGTTTGGATGGCCCTTTTCTACTTTCATATGTGAACCCCTAACCTACATATACTACAATTTCTACTCCAATAACACTCATCGCAGCATACAAAGATAAAATTGATGCTATTTTAGATAAACAGGTTGTGTTAACAATTGAAAGAGAGAATCGGTACTCCCTTGTTTGTTGGGTAGATTGAGGTGATTCTTGTGCTCCTCATTATATACAATCATGTGAAAACTTTGGAAATGAGGTACATGAATATTGGTTATTTGGAGTCCAATATCGGTACTTGATTAAAAGGAAAGATCGTCCCCCTTAGTCAGAATATATTCTTGGGAATAAGCTACAGTTTTTATTACTATCAATCATAGAATTTCGAAACTTGGTTTGTCAGAAAGATTGTCCCCCGTGGCATGACTTGAAGTATTTTTGGTGTCAGATTAACTGCAGCCTCTTGTAATCTATCTACTCGACAGGGCCGAGTTTTCTCCCATCCAGGGAGAGTCAATAAGGACATTTACCTATATTTATTTTTATTTTTATTTGGACTCTTATTTATTTTGTTTATTTTAGTTAGACTGTTATTTAGTGGGCTTGGCCCTTTCTCTTTAGGGTTTTGCTTTGTTAGTGAAACCTAGTTGCCATGTAATTGAGACAATTGATGAATGAATAAAATTATTGGTGGCTTGTATTGAAATCTCTCTCCTTTTCCATTATTCTTCTCTTTCTTCTACTGTTTCTCCCTTCTGCCATCCCTTTCCTTGATTTCTTCTTCCCGTTGTTTGGTTTTCTTATTCTTCATTGGGTATTTTTATTGATCCTGCATCAAATTTAGATGAACAGGTTGTGTTAACAATTGATGGAGAGATCGGTACTCCCTTGTTTGTTGGGTAGATCAACGTGCTTTTTGTGCTCCTTATTATGTATAATCGTGCGAAAATTTTGGAGATGAGATGCATGAATATTGGTTATTTGGAGTCCAACATCAATCCTTGATTAGAAGGAAAGACCGTCCCCCTTGGTCAAATCATATTCTTAGGAATAAGTTATAATTTTCATTACTATCAATCATGGAATTTCAATACTTGATTTGTCAAAAATATCGTCCCCGTGGCATGACCTGAAGCATTTTGGGTATCAGATGCATAGCAGTATTTTGTGATTTACCAACTCGACAGGATCGAGTTTTCTCCACCCAGGAGAGTTGATGCGGACATCCATTTATTATTTTGTATTTCCATTTGGACTATTAGCCCCCATTTGTTTCCCATTATTTGTCAATTAAAATGAAAAATATGACCGTTATCCATCATATCAAGTCACCATATTTGACTTTCTATCTCTTGTGCGGCCCATAATGGCTATATTTTTCATTCTCATTTTTACATTAATGTGTAACAAACGGGGCCTTATTTATGTTCTATTATTGGGCTTGTTTAATGCGTTTGGCCCAAGCTCTTTATCTTTAGGGTTTTTGTTTAGCTATTTATATTTGATTTGTTGTTTAATTGGGACAGTTGATAATTATGATGAATTGAAATTGGTTGCAGCTTCTCCTTCTTCTCCCTCCCCCTTTCCTCTTGAATTTCTGCTTCTTCTCAAATTTCTCCCCCCATTCTCTCCAATTCCTTCGTCTTTCTTGCTGCCCTCTTCTCTATACTACATTACTTAGACTAAATGGCAAGAATACAGAAAGGTTTGCTTTCAAATCCTAATACCTAAAATAGACACCAGAAGATTGATTCAGTTTAAATTATGTCACAATTTCTTTCAAATTCTCTCTCTCCCTCTAAATTCTTCCACCAGATCCTCTCTATTTTTTATAACCTTCGTCTTTCTCTATTGCGTTTTGAATCCAAATGCCTCCAAAAGGTGCCACAGGACTTCAGTTCAAGTATATGAACAAGGCTTGTGCTTGATTATGACTCTTGTAAAAGCTAACAAGTATTCACCTTACAGCTGTTATCTAAGTTTGCTATTACCATTTTCACCAATGCCATCTTATGAATAAGATATTTGACAGCTTAATCAACCTAAGACGACCTAAAGGCTTTCCTAGATTGGCAACAAATATTGTTTATTAGAACCATTTCATTTTCTAATTGCATGTTTGCTTGCAACTTCAGATGGAGAAATAGGCTAGAGGGGTTGTAGAATTATAGCATACAAGAACATAAAGCATAATTTGATTTCTTTGCCGAATCATTTATTTTTGAAAGATATAAAAATGGCAAAAGATGAAGACACTTGAACAACTACTACTTTTTGTTGAATGTAAGCATTATTTTATTGGTTAGGGTATCGAGCCCACTCAAGCATGGCTAGGTATCTGAACAAAATCAGATAACAAGAACCACAACTACCAACAAAGATGTACCACATTTTGAACATCTACAATGCAACCATGGATTGCTTTAAAAAATGTGCAACAAAAGCAGACGGTGTTTAAAAGAATTCCTCTCCCATGAAAACTGAGGATTCAGTCACGCTGATGTGCCAAGAAAAAATAGACAATGTCTAAAGGTATGTCTAGAAGTAGAGGTTATGTTAGATGGGATTAGTTGATAAAATTTAACCTTTTCTCTATCCTATTAAATAAATTTAAGTTCATAGAAGATAGCATTCGAACTTGACCATCTATTCTTAAGACAAGTATGCCACATGAATTGGAAGTCTTTCTATTTGTCTTCCACATAGATTGCAATTGTAGAATAAATCGCAAGCGCTCTTATAAGAGTTGTTTTAATAAGTTAAACAGCTTATCAAGTTCCTCGAGAAACTAAACCATACATTTTTTACCAATAAATTGATTTCGAATGGATATGCAAATGTAATGTGATTCTTATGTTTATCATTTACAAGAATAACGTCAATCTCATAGCACTTTCAAAAGGAGGATGACTTTGCTTAATAATACGTTCTTAATATTATCAACCTCGCATGAAAGTGCATGCATGATTCATAATGTTATTGGTTGAAGAAGCATTTTTCTCTCTTCATCATTTTGTTTGTAGAAAGAAAATAAAAAAGGAGGCGGATTTTGAAAGATAACACAGAAATAAAAAATAAAAACAATCAGCCTTTCGAGAGAGCTGTACTCTCCACAATATGGTTTTCACTCACTATTTTGCATGGCCATTCACATTTTTTTAGCATGTTTCATACCCAACCTATCAGATTAGTAACAAATCCAACCTTTTTATTGGCAAAATCCATCCTCAACCTCTAAAATATTTGCAAATCTGTCCTTATTGGTATATCCCGTCCAAAAAATCAGTTAAAGCATTATAAAGAGATTATTATAACAAAAAGACAAATATCTAAAGAGACAAAATAAAAATATGGAACAAAAAGATAAAAAATAACCAACAAAATAAAAAAGGTCTTCTTCAATGACCCGTACCCCACTCCTATCCATAGTCCCATCACAGCCACGCCATAACCACTGAAAAGGGAATTTCTCCCTCTAGGGTGTTCATGTTTTATTTATCTAATACAGGCTCCAACATTGGCCGCCGCCACCACCCACCATGCCAATTGAAACAAGAAAAGAATCACGTCTTCATTGCCAAATGAGCCACAACCACAAGGAGAGAGTGTATTTTATATATCTTGAATTTGGTTAATTTCGACAATTGAACAAAGATCTTGGTCTTTAGGAAAAAGACACAGATCCCCCAACACAGCGCTCAGATTCTGAGTTTGCTCAAAACTCAATGTTTAGCAACTGATTTTCGACCACCACATATTCAATATTGAATTTCAATAACCACCCCAAAAGGAATTCTACAACATATAGCCAAGACAAGGGTCCCCATAATTGTGAAAAATGGCTTCTACACCTAAAGTAACATGAATCAATTTCAATACATGAATGACATTATAGTCCACACATTCCATATTTGGAGACGAGATGGTTCTTGATTCAAATTTTCATTCTTTCTTGTTCATATTCATATTATCCAGCTTATTAGTAGTTCATTTTTGTAAGGTAACGTGCCACTTGAATAGAGAAATGTTTCTTTTTAGTTTCAATTTAGGCTACCAGTTTGAATGTTTCAATTTGGGAGGCTAGTGGTTCCAAAGGGTGGTGGTGGCTATGTGCTCCACCCCACCTACCCCAAACCTCAAACCTTCCCAAAACAAGAGAGCCCACAATCAAATAATATTTCGTTTGGGTTGTTTCATTAGAATTATGAAATTTAAAAGATTAATCACTTTATTGCCTCTTGCTTCATAAACAGATAAACTGTCCCAACAAAACCCGCATCTGGCTGTTCTATTGTAAAGCGTGTAAAACTACACCCAACTTTTTTTCCATCTTTAACCTCATAACCAGAAGGAGACTACAAAGTCAAACAACAATACTAACTCAAATTTCAATTCTGTAAAATTTTAACAACTAATTAAAAATATATAATTATCAGCTCAATTTTCAAAACAATTAAACTCACATAAAAAAAACTCGAGCTGGTCTTCCAGATTCTCAAGCGCGGTTCGGATGGCATAAAGACTCTTGGCCTCTTGAACTACCGAATCCTCGTCATCGACCTGAAGCCCCTTCATGTATACAAAACCCGACCCGGTATTGTCATCATCATTGAATTTCTTTTTCCCATGAAAATAATATTCCTCCGAGTAAGTGGATTTGCGAGGATTTTTTATGGAATTCTGGAAGTGGGTTCGAGAAATGGAGTGAATTGCATCGCTTAACTTGTCATGCAAATCCCATATTTTCTCAAGCACCACTTCGATCTCTTCCATCCCATTTATCATTTCATTTGGAGGAAAAACGGAAAGAAAATAGAACGAATACCACAATTATATGAAGAATATAAAAGGAATTTTCGAGAGCCGAAGCAATCCTCCTGTACTATACTGTAAATGAAAGAAAATTAAGAAAAATTCTCTTTATATTACAGAGGGCGATGGAATGAAATAGCAACTTTAGTTGAAATGAACGAACTGGGGAGAATGATACAGGAGAAGAGCGAAAGTCCTTAGTTTGATTATTTTTAATATTTTATAAGTAGTGCTTGAGCAAGCAACTCATTATGTAGTTGGTGTTTTGAGGGAAATAAGAATCATTTTTTCAAAAAAAAAAAAAAAAAAAGGATTAGGAAAATGAGTGTGTAGTTTGCTTTTAAATTTTGGCTATTATTTTGAGTGGATTCACCATTCTAAACAAATTAAAATCATTTTTTATTTTTCAAGTTTTATGTTTTTCAAAAATTTAGAAAAACATTTTCATCTTAAGTTTTTAATAATGAACTTTCTTCTAGTGACAACAATTAAAATATTTTTCAATGTACCATCGATGACAAAAGAACGTGAACTATATTTCATTTCAAGCCTTGTTTGGAAGATTTTTTCAAAAATCATTTTTCATCAAACTTATTTTTCAACCACATATTCAAAATATATATATATATATTTTTACGTTTTTCATAATTTTTCATTTTTTAATCATACATTCTTTAAAAAAAAAATCTTGTGTTTTAGTACATTTTTTATCAATCGAGAAAAAATCTTCGAAATTTATTGAGTAGGTGCGTTGTTCTTAATATTATGTAAATTTAAACTTTGATTTGTTGATATTTATTTTTTAGGTTGGGACTAATGAAATGGTTTTATTCACATTGAAAATCTATGAGCGGGTTTGGTTTATTGAATTGAATAAAGTAAAATTAAGTAAGATCTAAAAGTATTCTTACATATTTTGTTCCTAAAATTTTCTAATGTTGTTAAGCCCAGCTTACCAAAATATATCCCTTTAAAAAGTGTATTCAATTTTTCAATTTCTAGAATCGTTCATCTTTACTTGACAGATTCTAAAAATTCAATAGTTTAGAAATGGGAAAATTGCAGCGTCAATCCCAAATCTTTCATTTTGCTTCAAATTACATCCAAATCTTTAATTTTTGCAGTCACAGTTCCAAACCTTTATATATAATTGCAACGGTGGTCATTTCCGTCCAATTTGTCATCAGTCAACAGGAAAATCTGAATTCTAACTCAAATGGAACACTTATTTCATGGGCAAAATTGTCAAACCCAACTGTTCCACTACCTAACAAGCATATTTTCCCTCCCTTTTTATTACTGTACTCTAATATCTATCTCTCTTGCCCTTAACATTTCAAAAGGTAGAGAAGCATTGTAGACAACCATGGAAGTGAACGTGTGTAGATGTAGAATATCCAGATGAAAACTTCCTAGACCAACTTGAACCCAAGAAGACGATTTTTGACTTGTTCATGCGGTCAATATATGGAGGGATGTAACTTCTTTACTTGGTTTGACCCACCAATGTGCGAGAGGTTGAGGGAGTTGATTCCTGCTTTTCTCCAAGTAAGGAATGAGATAGAGGTTGAAATTCGAGCCCTTCGATTGATGAGAAATTGGATACCAGGATTTACTAGATTTGTAGTTAGATTTGTGTTTGTGTTATTGTTAGATTTCTTGTATGCTATTATCATTACCAACCAAATTTCATTTCTAGCCATTCCCCAAAAATAAAATTATATTACATGCATTTGACCATCACTCTTGAAACACTTGGAATATCCATCATACAGTATTAAACACCCGACAAAACCACATTACGTTAGTTTTTTAGCCATTCTCCAAAAACAAACTAGAAATTTATCAGTACAATATCACTTTCATCAATTTGTGCTCTTCTTATTGGACTTTTTCTTTCCAGTAGGTTTTTTAGTTGAAGTAGACGCCTTTTTCTTTTGCTACGAAGGATGTGGCTATGATCGTAACAGTGAAGGCTATGACTGTAAACCCGGTGGCTGTGGTTGCAAAGGCTGATCCAGAGAAAGATTAGCTCTGCAAGTCCTCATATTATGACTAGCATCCCCACATCTGCTACATGTCATTCTCATACCACTCCTACCCATCTTCACTCCAGCAGGGGATTCAATTCATGATCTTTTTCTCAAATTTTTTGGCCTCCCAGCTTGTTCCTCTTCTTAAGTGTATTCAAATGATGCTTTCCCAGTTCTTGCAATTGCATACTGACGTGGAATGCCTGTTAACTGTTATCTACTACAAGCAAACTCAATCTTCATCAAGTCCACACTCTATTTCATTCCGTCCCTACTACTGACCTTAAATTTCTCATGTCCTACATAGTCAACTTTTAAAAATCTTGCATCTAATTTAAACTGATCAACGATCTTCATAATTCTTGGACTAAGTGGATGATCCCATCTTTCAGGTACCTCTCTTTTAATAGGTATTCTGAGCATTTGCTAATGTCTAATCTTCTAGCAACCAAGATGGATGAGTTGAATGGCTCACACAAGTTATTCAGCAATATGTCACATTTTAAGTAGTCCTGAAAGTGTGATCTATTCCATTGGGCTGCTGATTTTTCACTAAACCATTTAAATGCTTCTTCACTGGCATCTGTTATGCCATTCATCACAGTCCTTCATTCAGGCATTGTGGTAGCCCTTCTGTAGCCTAAAATATTGCTTTTAGAGTAAAACCCTTGTGGATAAGAGTGAAATTACTATACAGATGTCTTACACAACATTCGTGTTCTGCTCCTTCACACGCCGTGTTCATAGATTCAACAAATCCTTTTTGTTTGTTTGAAATAAATGTCCACGCTCTTCGGTTGTACATCCCTACATCAAACACAAGCATCTCAAGAAACCAAGTCCAGTTGATCCTATTTTCAACATCAACCATAGCCCATGCTAAGAAAAACATACAATTATTTGCATCAATACCTACAGCCGCCAAAAGCTGCCCTCCATGTCCAGTTTTCAAAAAACACCCATCCAATCTAATTACATGCCTATACCTAGCCTTAAACCTCCCTTTTTATATGCCCCTACATAGATATAAATTCTTTTGAAAGTATTCCCTTCTTTCTCTACTTGTACTGTACTCCCAGGCCACTTCAACTCATCGCCGTAGTCCCATAATATTTTGTACACAACTATTCTGAATGGAGCTGTAAGTAAAATTAGGGTTCTGTACACAACTATTTTAAAAGGTCTAGGAAGTGTGATGCAGCTAATTGCAAAGGTTAGGGACTTGTGATGCACCTAATTGAATAATTTTACGATTATTACCAATCTTAAATTTGGGATCCTCCATATCTGCAGAAGGGTTGAACCAACTTTCATTCTTGTTCCTTGTGGATGATCCTCAATTTTCCTCATCATTGGGCAGACTTCTAAGATCATTTGAGTCTAGCTAATCCGTTTTAGCATCGCGTCCATCCCTTTCCTCATTATCTTGTACATTGCCTATTTTACCAACCCCAATGTCAAATCCCTCACTTAGCTCGAAAAATATGTCGTCATCATCATTATCCCCATGTTCTTCTTCACTTTGCTCATACTTTGGATTAGTGAAGTGTTCTAATAAACCATCATTAGCATCTACCCTTCAACATTATCAGCAGACTGTTCAACAAGATTGTCAATATCCTGCATATGGCTAGGCTATTCCTCAACATTGTCAGCCGCATGTTCTTCAACATTGTCACCAACATGGTCGAGAACAATGCTAGCAACCTGTCATCATCCTCAGCAGCATCTTCAACAACAATTTTAGCAGCCTGCTCATCTGACCTCATATGAACACCAGCTTCAACAATATCCACACTTTCCTGATCCACCACATCCACATCATTAGATTGAACACTTTCCTTAACCCCTCCATCTTCTCCACCCTTGTTACCCTCAGGTTCTTCCATACCATCCTCGCCCACCCTTATATCCTCTCTACCTTTGTCACCCTCGAGTTCTTCCATACCATCCATTTTCCACACGTGTCATCCTCAAGCTATTCAACAAGATTGTCAACATCCTATATATGGCTAGGCTATTCCTCAACATTGTTAACAGCATATTCTTCAACATTGTCACCAACATGGTTGAGAACAATGCTAGCAACCTGTTAATCATCATCCTCAGCAGCATCTTCAACAACAATTTTAGCAGCCTGCTCATATGACCTCATTTGAACACCAGCTTCAACAATATCCACACTTTCCTGATCCACCACATCCACATCATTAGATTGAACACTTCCCTTAACCCCTACATCCTCTCCACCCTTGTTACCCTTAAGTTTTTCCATACCATCCTCACCCATCCTTATATCCTCTCTACCTTTGTCACCCTCGGGTTCTTCCATACCATCCATTTTCCACACGTGTCACCCTCAGGTTCTTTCATACAATCCCTATCCACCCTTATATCCTCTCCATCCTATATTACAATTTTCTCAGTAGCATGTGTTACCTCCTCAGTCTATACATCTGCATGGAATCTATGAACAGCCAAATCCTCAATTGATGGCTCATACATCATTTAAGTACTCTCTTTAACATTATCCATAAGTTGATCTTCACATTGCTGCTTATCTGATCTCATTTGAACATCCCCTTCAATATTACCCAAACTAACTTGACGCACCATATTCACATCCAAATGCTCACAATTTTCAATAACATTAACATAAATTTCAAGGTTTGTGAAAATATATAAAATTCATTCCTAAAAAACAAAAATCATATCTTCAAATATAAAATCGAAACATGTACAATCACATTGGCATTCTTTATGTTCACAAAAGCACATCTTTTAACTGCTATATACTACGTAGGAATAAAAACCAGACCCTAGTTGCATGCTGTAGTGATGTAAGACACAAATGCGTTCAAGTACAGACACCATTTTAAGAACATAATGCCATCTTTAAAGCACATGGTTCATGCCAAATCAATAATATTTCTCTCTCACTGAACATAATGCCATTTTTGAAAGCATAGAACAATAAACATTTTGAAAATTAATTTTCAACGGGAGTCGACAAAGAAGCCTCTATGATGGCAAGTATTTTTTACAATATAACAGTTTTCAAATTTGAGATGATCCATTGTTGAGTAGAAAGGAAATGTCATGTTCTCTTTCAAATGGAACTGAATAGGCGAGATTTGTTTGGTAGTAGAATAGTTGGGTTTTTAACAATTTTGCCCATGAAGTAAATGTCTCATTCGAGTCAAAATTTAGAATTTTCTATTGATTGATGACAATTTGGACGAAATGCACATGAACCACTGCTGCAATTACATATAAAGGTTTGGGATTGAGGCTGCAAAAAATTAAAGGTTTGGGTATAATCTATAGTAAAATGAAAGGTTTGAGATGGATATTGTAATTTTCTCATTTAGAAATCTACACCCATAAGTACGATGGAGTGCCACGTCAATGATATTGATTATTTTTCAATAATGACATTGACATTTACATGAGTTTTTTGTAGTAGATTATTTTGTTAGCCAATATTTCTTACTGCAAACTTATTTAAATAAAATTATAATTTCAAATTTAAGTAAAAAGCTAATTCTAAATACATGTTACGCCTCATATACGCAGCTCCCAGTGGAAAACACTTCGAAGCCACATGGAGACAATACATCTAACAGGAGGCAAGGACAAGATGAGGAAAAGGAAAAAAACTCCGTGGATGAAGTACTATCTCCATTTGAAGTTCTTTGTCGAAGCACTCTTCCATTTGGCCGAAGTCATCTCTTTAAGTCGATGCGCATGTTAAAACAAATCTGCAGAATATCTATATGAATGATTGATGTAATAATCATATTAATAAGTTTCAGAAATGTCAGCTTAGAGTATAGGGCGACTAGCCACATGTCAAAACATTTAATGTACGGTGGAGTGATGTAATACTTCGGTTAATAAGATGAAACTAGGTGGTTCTGATCCAACGATCACCACGTCGGTTAGAACACTATAAATAGTAGTTCTTGTAACATTTCAAAGGATAGGAGAAAAATATATGCAAACTAAACATACATAAAATTACAATTCTACCACTTTACATGCTTGAGTTTTGTAATTCTTTATAATTTTTGATAGAGTTGTCTATGATTGATTATTTTGTTTGCGATCATTCTTGATCACATTGTCGATATCAAAACATTTTTATCTCATGCCATAATGTATCTCTCACGTCCATTACCATCGTGAGTCTCCGATCGTATCTCTGGTCAAAACGAGCTAAAATTTGCTTGCGTAGATACAAGTGGGTCTAGCATCTGATGTCCATGTTGCCATTGCAAAAAATGAGGTCAACACTACATATTCAAAATTACTATTCACACATTTTGTAAAATTTACTGCTCATTATAATTTTATCCAAACTAATTAAGCTCCTTTTTAGTTTAGAAAAATAATCATTTTTTTCTAAATTTTTATAGAAATTGATGAAAATGCGTGTTAAAAAGTTGTAAATTCCATAAAATATGTGTGGTTAAAAAAAAGAGAAAAAAAGTATTTTAAAAATAATGGGAATTAGACAAGGACAAAATGTTATTTTGCCACCATTAGAAAATTCAGCCCATGTTCGAGCCACATTTTAGGAAAAATGCATTATTTATATCAAATCAATGAAAAGTGTGTTTTTAAAAAATAAGAAAAGATTTTAGATTTGTGTGTAATATTATTTTATTGAAGAATGTGTGGTTAAAATAATGTCAAATCACTGTTAAAAATATTTTTTTAAAAAAATAATGTGGCTCAAACAAGCCCTCACTCTTCTGTTGAAAAAGAAAAAAAAAAACTTGGAATCTGTATTATTTAGTATCGAAAATATGTGCCAAAAATATAAGTTGTATCACAAATTTCACTTGCTAGCTTATAAATTCAAATAATTTTGGTGAATCGATATGATTGTTATTGTTTGGTAAAAAACTTCATTTTTCTTCAAAGTTATTTTTAACTATATATTCTTTCAATAAAATAAATTATGTGAGTGGATTCATATCGTATATTTTTCCAAAAAAATAAATTTTTTTTTTTTACAAAATCTATTCTTAAAAAACTACATTATCCAAAATAAAATTATACAAAATCTCTAGTGAAATTCCCCCCTCCGAGCTGTGGAAGGACCTCTACCGCTTCGTGTCTTTCTAATAAACTGAAAAAAACTGAGAAAATCTAATTGTGGAGGCTGGGCCAAACAATCTAGAGTTTTCTTTCCTCTCCATGCAATTTGGAGAAGTCTGCTTCCACTCGTATCAAACTTAACCATTACCACATTGTGACTTAGCCCTCGTGTCGTGTCGTAATCAAAGCCGATCACGAGGTATACATTTAAATCGTCTATAGATATAGTATATGTTATGATTGGAAAACGCCTTTTTATTTTAGTTGTTAGTGCACATTGTCCTGATTGTTATTTTATTTCGTCATTTTGGTGCTTTTTACATTAATGGTGTGTTTGATTACATTTATTTTTCATGGAAAATATCAAATTTTCGCCCAAATTTCTACTTGGAGTGTTTGATTGCTATTTTTTTCCATGAAAAATATTTTCCAACTTTTGAAAATATACCTAATTTTCCTTGTTTTTAAGGAAAATATTTTCCTTGGGTAGATGTGGTTTTTATTTTCCACAAAAGATGGAAAATATTTTCTTTTCTAGGTAATATTTTCCATGTCAATCAAACACACCCTAATAGTCTAATTTAATTACAAATGGTCAATTATTATTCATTTTCTTAAATAATATGTATATGCACGTAATTATTTCTCTTATCTACACGTATATGGTATATGTTGCTATTGATGGAAACCGAATTTCTATTTAGTTTTTTAGGGCATATTATTCTGGGTTTTATTTTATTTCGTCATTTTGTTATTTTTTGGGTAATATTCTAATTTAATTACTGGAGGTCGATTATTATTTACTTTTCCGAATATTATGTGGTTATTAGAATTTCTGAGCAAAGAGGAGTAAGGGTGTTGAAATTTCTGGTTGTATTTATTTGCTGAGAATAAAAAATTATGCTTTGGTTTAATGAACTTTTGGAATATATGTTATTGGTCATTGTGTAATTGGATTTATTTTCATTCATGTCTCGATTTCGTGCCTTTTATTTCCCCAAAAGCAAAGGACAAATGTCATTTGGATGTCGTATTTTATGAGTAAAAAATGTTGAATGTGTGCTTGTCTGTAATGGTTGTTCTGGGCAATTTTGATATTTGAACATTTGGGAATTATTAGTTTTCAGGTTGATCATCTCTGATTCAGGGTTATAATATTGTTTGAAAAAGAGACTAATCAGAAGATGGTAGAAGAATTGAAGCATAATGAAAACTCATGGATGAACACAACAGAGCAGTCCTCTAGAATGGTTGAGATTGATAAAAATGTTACCTTGATGCCTGAATCAGTGGTGATCGTGGATGGAATTGAAGCTTCTCATCCTCAGCAGCCTCAGTCTCACAATTTGAAGACCACCATTGATGGAAAATTGGGCTTTCCCGATCGTGCCTTAGAGGCTGCTGGTGCTGCAGTTCTCTCAGCCATTCTTGTTAATCCACTTGATGTTGCCAAGGTGTAATCTTATGTTTCATGTTGAAGTTTGTTTAACTTATTTTATAATATGCGGTGTTTTAATTTCTACAATTTTCACAATCCACGTTATCTTTCCTACAGAGTTCCACGTTACCATTCCTTGTTGGATTTATCTGCTTGTACTAGTAATGTCTCTGAAGGGTCAATGTTGTTGGTTGGTTGCGTTGTAGAGTTTCTTCTTCTTTTATTGGTGTTGTTCATATTTGGAAGTGAGTTTTTTGACTACCTATTACGTATTTCTACCCTGATTGGTGTAAAAACAATTTTTTCTTAATTCAGCTTCATTATAGGCTTTATGGTAAATTTCAGGGTCATCTTGTTGTTTTCTTACATTTTATCAATTTGTATTCTTGCACATTATTATAGTTTTTTCCCCTTGCGCTGTATGAATTTGTGACCAAACACTTCTAAACAGAATGCATTTGTCGCACTGTATTGTTTATCTTGAACTTGCAATGCAGAAAATAAATTTTAAGTTAACCAGATTTCTCCCGTCTGGACGTGGAAATGAAGTTGTATTTTTTTATATGTTTTCTAAAATATTGCCCCTTATATACTAATTTTTGCAGACGCGTTGCAAGCACAGGCTGCTGGAGTTGCTTTCTCTCATTCATTGAGTGATTTTACCAGTCGAATGGCCTTTTCTGGACTGAATATGGTATGTTACTTTTATCTTTTATTTTCTTTCTCCAATGTTCTGGTGGCCCTCACGTAAAGAATTTGCACATTTTCTCTTTGATATTGTATCCAATATTTTTGTTAACAACTTAGTTAAGCCTTGCTTATTCTAAATTGTTTAGATATCAGTGGATGCATTTTCCTTCTGAAAATCAATCAGCTTAAGTAATTGTATGAATTAAATTTCACCTAAGTTTGTGCTTTCAAAATTATTGGATTCATTAGTTGCACTAAGTAGCAAGGTATATTGACTCCTCACATATGTAACACTTCACAGAAAAACTCATTTTTATGCGGTTCTTGACCTCCAAGTTCCAACTAAAGGTACTTTGTGCATTATGAAATGAACATCAAGAATCAGCATATTTACCTGATTTGAAGTTGCTTGGATAGCCAAGCTGTTGGATGTAAATTATCCAATAAATTACTTTTTCTACCTCAACAATAAGTTGACCGGATTTCACAGCCTTGAATGGATCTTAGAGTGGTAAAGATGTGCTCAAAGCTACATTAAATCCAAGTACTGAAAGATTTAACTTACATCTTAATCCTTTAAAATGCTATTTTGTTTTATTCTCACCAAAACCATCTTATAGTTAAATCTTAATTCTAATGTTGCTGCCACTCAGTCTGTTCCCCCTAAATTTGTTTGCTGATGAAAAGAATATAAACATGTTAGATTTATATATAGTCAACCATACTTTATATTGAAATTCAGCCTTGTTTGTCCTTCATGGCATATGCAGTTTAACTTACCTTACTGCAATGTAATTGCTAGTTGTTTGCAGATCTAAGGTGTTCTCCATCGTGCACCCGTGCTGATGTTCATGGTAGAGTGTCAATTTGTGCTCCTAATTGTTTCCATTACGAAGGAACATTGGATGTCTTCTATAAAATTATTCGACAGGTAAGTGCAGTGTTGGTTACTTCTACACAAACTATAAAGTTTGACAAGCTGTGTTATCATTTCAGTTGTTAGATAAATAATGGTTCTGTGCTTTACAAGAAGGAATTTCTAGGCTGTGGAGAGGTACAAATGCTGGCTTAGCTCTTTCGGTACCCACTGTAAGTTTCGAGTGACTAGCGCCCATGGTCACAGCAATAAAATCCATTATTCATCCCATGTTGAAATGAGATTCCTGCAGTGAAAATTCAGCGTGGGTCTTCCCTGTTTTCTAAACAGGTGGGCATCTACTTGCCATGCTATGACATTTTCCTTCAGCAGTTAGAGAAATTCACAGCACAAAATGCTCCAAGCATGACACCATATGCACCATTGGTGGCAGGCTCATTGGCTCGATCTTTAGCTTGCACAAGTTGCTATCCCATTGAACTTGCCAAAACACGTATGCAGGTAACATATATGATATCTGCTTATTTATTTTTTTCTCTTTCGTTGTTCTTCCCATCTTTCTTATACTAATAATCACTACCAACATGATGTACAGGCGTTCAAGGATTGTGTTAGGAAGCCTCCTGGAGTATGGAAGAATTTACTTGAAGTTATCTATCAGATCAAGAGCACGACTAGCATCACTAACAGGTGTACATTGATCTTCTTCGCTTACTAAAGAAGGTTGATATTATTAAACTGTAAGTTACATTATTTCTAAAACCAACAGGCAGCCAAAGATTTGTGCATAGAAATAAAGTAAGGTATTGTGGCCATGCCAATCGTTTTCTAGAAACCCTTTAACTGCAAAAAATTAAAATTTTCCCCTTTCAAATATCCTTTTAGACCTCATACGTGAAAGAGATTTTTATATCGGCGAGCGCCACCCATATGAGTGTGTGACACCTTGATATACAAAAAGTTATGTACGCCTAGTAAAGCCTTAATAATATATTAATGTATGAGTTGAGATTTCTTGTTCAAAATTTGTTGTCCTCCAATAAATGATTGACACATCATTTTACATTAAAGTGTCATATAATTTTATTCTGAAGTGACTATGAGAGAAAAGTTGAAGATGTTAATTTAAAATAATGCATCAATCATTCATTGGATGAACAACGAATCTCAACTCATTAGTGTATAACTTTATGCAAATCATACTTCTTTCTAGTGTTATTATTTTTATTTTCAACACTCGAGTGAACGGAACAACAATAGTTTCATTCTGAGATATTGATTAGCTCTTTCGTCAATTTGAAGTTGAATATCATTGAATTAATTTAGTGCTTGTTTGAGCTTCCTTTTTGGCTAAGAATGCATTTTCAAATAGTAAATTGATGAAAAATATGTAGTTAAAAAGTAAAGAAAGTTTTAGGTTTGCGTGTAATACTTTTTTATTGAAAAAGAGAAAAAAATTGAATTTTGAAAATAATAAGGATCAAACAAAGGCTAAATCTCTTCTTTTTAGATGAGATCTGTTGTTTAATTTTTGTTGTCCAATTTGTTATCTATCCAAATAATTATTTGACATATCATTTTGTGTGGGAGAGAAAATATTTATAGTGTTAAATAGTTGTTAAAGTGGGAAATTAAAATTGATGACATTTTTAATTAAAATGATGTGTTATTAATTAATTGGATGAATTGCAAATTGGACAACAAAAGTTTGACAACAAATCTCAAGTCCAATTATAAGTTAGAAATGAATTGCTAATAGAGGAAATTGGAAATTACATAATAGCAGGGATTTAAAGATCATAGTTCAAAAATCGGGGACCAAGTTTCATTATGCAAAAATCAGGTACTGATATAATAATTAAACATCCAAACTTAACACCCAAACCCTAATCAATTTCATCTTCTTCTTTCTCTCACTTCTCTCACCTCTCTCTAACTTCGCCTACTTCCCTTTTTGGTGACAATTCCTTGTCTCTCCAAAGGCGTCGCCACAGCACTGAGTGTGGCAACGTCGGAGTGTGGTGGTGGTTGTAGTGTATTGAAGCTGCCGTGCTTTTCAATGGTGGTAGCGTCGAGGTAGGGGGTAGTAGTGGTGGTTTGGGGCTATAGTGGTTTTCAGCATTGGCGACGTGATGGTGTGGTGGAGGTTGGTTCCCTTAAATGTGAGCGTCGTGGTGTCAAAACCTTGGTCGCTGCTTTCTCTGGTACGATTTTCAACAGTGGTGGCGTCGGGGCGTGGTGGCGGCTGCTGCTTGTGGTGATTTTCAACGATGGTTTGGGGCTGATGTGGTTTTCGACAGTGGTGGTGTCAGGGTGTGATTGTAGTGGTGGTAATAGTGGTGGTTTTGACGGTGGTGGTGGCGGTCAATGATGATGATGATGATGATGCAGTCGATCTAGGTAGGTTACAGGTGGTAGGGTTGGGTTTGATAGGTTGGTGTGATTTGTTCATGGTGGTGTGTGTGGCAGTGATGCTGTTGCGGTGTGATGACAGTGGTGTTGCAAAAATGGTGGTTTTGGCGCCGGCAACGATTTTCAACAGTAACTATGATTTTGTTATGGATTTGTGGAGTAGTTTTGGGTAGTCGTAGTGGTGCTGGCTTAGGCAATAAGGTTGCGGTGGTGAATGTGGTGCCAATTTCGGGCTGCAGCGGTGGTGGTGAGGTTGCGGTATTGTGGTGCAAGCGACCGTTGTGTGGTGATGTTTGCGACCAAGATTGGTGTTGGATCAGGATGAGGATCGGTGGTGGAGGTGTTTGGTGTTTGTGACCAACTACATGAACTAATTATTAATCTGTGACTATGACCTTAAAATTCAATAATTTGTGACTAAAAATATAATTTGTGACTAATAAATTTGAACATATGTGACATATATATAAACTGTGAAATGTAATTTGAATGATCCGTGATTTTGAAATAATCTGTGACCTCAAAATTTTTTTATTTATGATCTCGAAATAATCTGTAACCAATTAATTCGATGATCTGTGACCAATAAGTAAATCTGTGACCAATAATTATGAATTTGTGACCATTAATCGTGTAATTGTGACTTTATTATATTTAATTAATAAATATTTTCAATTAATTATGTAGAAACCTGAATTTTGAATTATTAAACTTTGTACCTCATTTGTGAATTGATGTAAACAATACACCTTACATATGAATTTTTCCCTAAAGGAAATTACGAGCCCATTTTTTATTTTACTAAAAATTAAATTTTAAATAAATTTTGATAAATCTTAATGAAATATCAAGTATGTGGTTAAAATTTGAAATTTTTTGTAGATTCTATATATGTATGATTAAAAGTAATTGTTGATTTTGACTTAATTTTTTTCAACTTTTTATTTTAACTAAATAGAACTAAGCAAATCAGTGCACAACGAAGTTTAATTATTTTCTTAATACTCTCTATGCTTACGAGCTATATATACTTCAAAAATGATTAACTTCGTAAAAGAAAACAAAAACTGGAGCATCGTATAGAGGAAAAAATAGAAATTACTATCTGAAAATGGGAATTTAGCAAACAAGAATACAAATAAAATTTGAAAAAAGTCCCATACATTTTGCAATTTGCATACACCACCCCACATCAAAGAGGGAAAAAAATAAGAGCATTATTATTTAATTAACTACCCAAATTATAAAAAAAAAAATCCTCTTTTAAATAATTGGCACTCCGCTAATTAATTAAAATGCTGGAAAAAAATTGTCCTCTCTCTTTCTGTCATCTTTCTATCACCTGCTGTGATGATCAAGTTCTGGGGTGCCTTTCCATGGAGGTGGTGCGATGATGATTAATTAATCAAAAAAATTAGTGGATAATGTATGTCAGCACCAAAGCCACTAGCATTAGAATGTAGGCTATGCCTTGATCTATTGCAGTCCCTGCAAAAATATAAAGACAATAATGTCACAATTTAATTAAATGTAGATTTTTAAATTTTTTTTTTTAAATGAATATTTTGTCGATAGAAATGCTTTATAAAACATTTGTTTGGTTCAGGTTTATAAATTGTATGACTGTAAATTTTCAAGTCAGTTTATTCTGTCTGGCATATTCCATAAAAGACTTTAAAATGGTTCTTTATGAATATATGTGTGTATATATAGAAAGAATATAGATATACCATCGCTGGTGGGGGAAGGAGCCGGAGCAAACTGTTCTGCAGGCTGAGCCATGGCGGCAGGGAAAGCGGCGGTGGCAAAGATGATAGCCAAAAACGCCACCAATCCAATCGAAGCTCTGTTGATCGCCGCCATTGATCGTGTTTTATATGATCACTTTTCTCTTTCTATTTCTCCCTCTGCGACGATGTCTTGCGAAGTCAGTTACGAGTCGCAGAGAGAGAATGTAGAGAGAGAAACTACAACCCTTGTGAAATACCTGAATTTGTTTGGAAGAGGCCGAGGTATTTCGATGTAGAATTAGGGTGATTTATAGGGGTGTAAAGAGGGTTTGTGGAGAGGAAAACGGGGAGGCCATAGAAAAGATTGGCATTTTTTAATGGCTGAGCTGGGTTTGCACCACCGGTTTTGCTGGCCTGGCCAGCGCTGGCTGCCACCCCCTCTATCATGTGTTTGGTGATAAATTGTTGCATGCCAACTTATTTTTAGAACTTTTTTGATCATCCGTCAATAATTGGTTTGCATGTGCATGCTAATTCAAAAATCTTCAATTATTTTATGGATTTTTCTTCTAGAAGGTCCGGTTCAATTTGCGCCCCCTATAGGCGGGGGTTTGTAAAATCCTTATTTTATACAATTATGCTATGCTGTCCAAATTTTTTTGACATAATAACTAATCGACACTCATAATGGGAGGAGGCCCACTTCTTTTTTGGACTTTTTTTATTCACACACACAGGAGAGGATGTTAACCATTATCTCAACAAAATTCAAACAAAATAGTTTAATTCTATTTTATAATGTCACTAAGTGTTTTTTGTAATATTTTTAAGGGGAATTATAAAAAATAACACTTTTTTTAAAATTGCTATAAAACATTTGATGTGCACTAAATTTTATCAAAAATGTCACTTTTTTGGTGAAAAATGTCCAAATTACCCATTAATCTCCCCCTTTTAGGAGCATTAAATGCTCATTAATGGTAGTCTCCAATCCAATCAATTGTAATGATTTCATTATTTAATTTGTATATTATAATGATTTGGTAAATGTATATTATATTATATTATATAATATGAATTGACTAAAAAAAAAAGAGAAAAGACGTAAAAAAAAATTAAAAGAAGCAAAACAATCCTAGTTCACATCAAATACATCCCTTCTTGAAAAAACCTTCCATTTTCGTTCATCTTCTTTATTCCTTCATCAACAATATATTGCTATTCAATTATTTATATTTTTATGTAATAGCTTATTATTTTTCACATATTAAAAGTAACATGATCATCAAAGTGAAAAAAGCATTTAAAATCACTATAAATGATGATGGTATTGTTTTTTCCCTTTTCAAATCATTTTAAAGGGAAAATATACCAAAAATATTTAGGCAAATGTCAACTATTCCATATTTAATGAAGCAGTCATTTGTTTATGGAGATTTGTAGAGCAATGGAATAATTGTTGTAGTTGAGAATTGATTATAACCATTAATATTTCGGAAAAAGTAACAAACAAACAGGCCTTAAACTTGTCGGCGGTCTCGACAGTTTATCTGTCGATCTCGACGGTTATACATGTCGATCTCGACATTTATAAACTGTCGAGATCGACAGATAAACTGTCGGGATAGAGTTTTAAACTGTCAAAATCGACAGTTGAAAACTCTTGACACCCTGCATTTCACATTCTCCTATTG